TAATGCCCTCATTTCTGTTTCTTTGGATTTATGAAGTTCTCTTGAAAAACTGCTTTCCAGTTTCAAGCAACTCTCTCCTCTCCAGATTATACTTTTACAAGCATTTACTGGACAGAAAACCTTTACAAAGAGACAAATTCTGACTATCTAAATCATTCCTTATTTAGATTTGAAGTCAATAGGATTTTAGCTTAAAATTAATATATTTTATATAATCCAAGAAGATTACATAGGATAAACATTAAAATCAAATGAAAAATACATACACATAAATATTTAAACCAATGGTATCTGTAAATACATTTTTTGTATTTTCCTTAAGCCTAAGTCGTCCTTTTATATTTGAATCCATTTATAAATGGCTTGTCATTAGCAGACATTGAACTAGATGCAAACATTTTATCACAGTAGGGAGATGCATGAGCAGGCATAAATTTCACCCCTTAATAAGTAGAATATGCAATTTAATTTGATCAAGAATAATTAAATTTGTATAAATTCAGGAAATGTATTCCATAGAGGACAAAACTTCAGAAGGTGAAATACATGTAAATAGACAATTTTACATTTGAGCAAGAGAAACAGACCATGGCTCAATTACCATTATAGGAATTACCGTACTCAAGCAGTCAGAGCTGCTTTTCAGACCAACATGAGAGAAACTTCAAGGACCCAATACCGCAGGTCTTACTGAAGCAAAATACCCTCTGTCTTTTGGTGGGAGGTTTGTTTTCTATGAGTAAGAAAAGTAGCAGGGAGACGAAATTTAGATAGAATTCAGATAAATAGAATTCAGATAAAGACACATACTGTATATTTTATGGACAGGACCCAAGCTTCTATTTCAAACAGATCCTTGCATGGCTGTGCTTAGAAACTTTTTCAAAATTGTTAGTAATCATGAAATAACAGTGTATCTATGTTATGGAGAAGGAAATTAACAAGGGACTATGCAGAGATTCCAGTTCAGCCACAGCCTGTATTTCTTTTTAAATAGGCTTTGTATTTGAGATTGATATGGGATTGATACTCATTTCCTAAACTAAATTCCTCTATCAGCGACATATTTATAGTAATGCCATTTTCCATCTACTCTCCTGTCAACAACCCTGACTGCATTGGAAAGATGCCTCTCCTTGGAGGTAAATGGAGAGGAAACCCAATCTATCCTGTCTGTTGGGTTGCCACCAGGAGTGAAATGTGATAGCAGTTCCTGCTATGGGGGCATCTAGTATTCCAGCCAACTAAAGCATCTCTCATAAGCACCCAAACAACTGTCATTTGGGGAAATGAATTGCTGGATTTGCTTCAAGAAGCAGCCAGAGATAACCTCTTTCCACATTTCTCCTCAGGCCCCAAATCGTCCCCATGATTTAGCCATTCCCAAACTAAACATACCAGTTTAGAGCCTGGAGGTGGTGGTTGGGAAGCCACCAGGATGGCATATTATTGCAAGCCATGGCTCAGGGCATATGGTCTGGAGCAGCTTTTAACTCTTTGTGAGAAAAAAAATCTCTTTTGTCCTGCACTTTGAGAAATCCTGTGTGTGTGTACAGCAAACAGGTAGGGCAGAGTTAGATAGAAATAATTACAAAAGCAAGTGAGGCCCAAGGAACCTGACACACTGCAAATATTTTCATGCTGGACAGGATACTGCAGATACGTGGGGCTTCATTACTTTTGGTACCATTAAACTCAGGAACACTCAAAAAAAATCAGTAGCTGAAAACACAACCACACCTATTGATTTGCAAAGTTTTTGTCCTTATAAAGAAATGTAAAGAGGTAAACAATTGTAGCAATCAAAAGCAGCTCCTCTATCCAGGATAAAAAATTTGAAATCAAGGTGTTTCAGCCAGCTGCATTTCTATGATGGATAAAACAAAGCCTCCTGATGCAACCCTGCCAGAGATTTGCTCACAGCCCGTCGGACACTACATCCTTCTCTGCCCCACTCACTCCCCTCCCACTCTAGAGCTCTGATCGGTGCCGGTAATCCCGGCAGGGACACCTGAGGAGCCCGAGGATGGCAGGGGAGCCCGGAAGGGGGGCATCACACGCTGCAGCCAGCTGTGGGGAGGAAACGCAAAGCAGAGAATATTTGGAAAGGAGCCACCCAGTCCCGTTTCTGGAAATAGACCAGCTCTTGAAAGGGATAAAAAAAGTGCAGCAGGCCGAAAATAGCTGAATAAACTGCAATTACAGCCAGCGTTAGCTGCCTAACCTGCTGGATTTTCCGCACGGTTGAATCAGCGGCAGCTACTCTTTCATGTGATGACTTTTGAGACTAAAAAGCCCAGCGGTTCCTGAAAAGTTTGGCGGGCAAAGGGGGCCGGGGGCGAGTAGCGGAGCCCCACGCCGCGGCGGGGATGGGGATCTCCGGCTCCCGCGGCCGAGTTGCCCGCAGAGGGGGAGCCCCAGGGCCCGGAGCGCGGGGGCACCGGGGAGGTCGGGCATCACGGCACTGGCTCTCTGCCCTCCCGCGGGCTGCCACAGCCTGGGTGGAGATGATCTGCCGTCAGAGCAACAGCACCTGTGACCGAGCTACCAGCTAATCCGGCCAAGCGGATTATTAGCCTCCTCAGACGGATAGCCGCAGCTCGGCGCTCCCGGGAACGGCTCGGCTGGGCTCGGCGTCCCGGCTGCTCCGCCGGGATCGCGTCCGACCGGAGCAGAGCAGCGCAAACTGTGCGTGCCGGGAGCAAGACTGCGGACCTGGCCGGCGGGGTTCGTACCTGCCAGACCCCCAGTCCGCCCCTCCATCCCCTTTTCCCCGTTCACCTCTCTTGCTTAGACGGGCTCCCCCCACTCCTTCAGGAGAGGGGGTCAGCCCTCCTCAGGCCAGGTCAGCCCTACGCAGGCAGGGTGGCTGTGCCACTCCTGCCACCCAAATCCACTCGTCCCGTGCAGAGGGAGTAGGTAAGTGCAGCAAAGTCCCCGGGGAGGTGGAAAGCTGTGCTGCGGCCCCTGGCACTCCGAGGTACGTGACTTGGCTTCAGGGGCCGATGCTTAGACAGCGTCCCCTCCGCAAGGGAAGGACACGGGTCCTTGGGGTAGGGTTGGAGGATGAGGGGGGCTACACGCCTCTCCCACCGGTATGCAAACTGAGAGGTCTAGAAACCAACCCACCCCCCCACTTCCAAAATCCCGTCCTCCGGAGCATCGCCTCTTGCCCAGAGCACCATGGCCCTGTGGGGTGGCGGCAGCGGGCAGGGAGGGTAGGGCAGGCAGGTCCACGCCGTGGCTCTGCTCTCCCCCCGCGGTCACGGCCCTCCGAGCGCGGCCCGGGCAGGGGGAGAGGGGCGTCCCCAGGGGCTGCAAGAAAGCGTCCGGCTGCCCTGCCTCTGTCTACCCCATCCCGCTCCTGGGGGCACATGGCAAGGAAGTAGCCCCTGGCTGGTCGCAGCGCCAAGGGGCGAGTGAAGCGAAGGGCACTTTGCGGGAGTGTGAACGCAGCCTCCGGCGGGGTATTTCGGCCTCTTTGGTATGCTAAGAAGTGACTGCTTTTCGCTGCTGCGGCAGTGGCGGGGGGAAAAGGGGCGAGACGAGCTGGTAAACTGAAGGCGGGGGCGGGGAGGGGTAAATCCGCCGAGATGCCCACCTCGGCTCTGCACCAGACCTGCACTGTGCAGAGCATGTGGCGGCACCCCGGCTGCCGGGGAGGAAAGGGGTGAGGGCTGCCAGCGCTGCTGCTTGTTGATGTTGGGGTGTCAGAGAGGCAACGAGAGCCTATGATCTACTACACTGCAGTGCCAGCGTCAGGAGCCTTCTGCTCGGGAGCTGCCACTGCAGGGCAGCCGGCACACACACACACACACACACACGCACACACCAGCGCGCACACACGGCATCCCTCCCCTCACAGCATCCCTCCCCTCACAGCCTGGGCTCCGGCGGCTCTCGCCTCCCCAGGCACTTGCAGACAACCTGCCGGCCTCGGGGAGCGAGCTCGGCGGCGGGGGGACAGGAGGCCGGCGAGGAGGGCCGGTATCTCCCCTGAAAAGCTCATGGCTCACCCGCCTGCCATCCCTCATCGCCCACCTTGCTCGCCAAGCCCCGGGCTTGGCCGCACGGACGCCCCGAGCAAGAGGGATGCAACAGCAGCAGCGTGACCCCCGGAGACCAGGCGGCCCAGAGCACCTGCATTTGCATTTCTTATGTAATGTACTGCAAGTTTCCCCCTCGGAACCGGGCTGAACTGAAGCGCATGATCCCGACTGCCAGGCAGACATGGAGACGGACGCAGAGACACCGGCATGTGCACAGAGGGGTCATCCCGGCAGGCAGAGGCTGAGGAGCAGCGCAGCCAACCCGCCGATGCTGCTGCTGCCGCTCAGCATAGCTGGCTGAGTTGCCTCCTGGGCACAAGCCCCAAGTGTCCACTCCCATCACTCACTCCCCTCCACCCTCCCGGCCTAGAGTGCCGGAGGGCGAGTGATAAGGTAGAGCCCCCAGGCCGGGGGCGGGGGGTGTCAGGCTTGACTTTAGAAAGCAGAGCGAGGCGGTGGGTGGGTGTGTGTGCGTGTGGGGTGACATACTGCAAGCTATTCAGAAAGTGCTGTGCAGGACCCGAGCCCCGGCGCACTCGCCCACCGCAGGCAGGGCCGGCTGACACCAGCACAAGAGAGCCAGTCTCCTCTTTCCAAAACTGACTGGGGGGCTTGCATCGCGGTCGGGAGTGGAGGGCTCTATAGGCTTCCCCTCAATAAGGGTTGTGACATAAAAGTTTCCACCTTGGAAATAGCACATAGGAACTAGGAGATGCCTGCTGGGCTAGGGTCGCCTTTGATTATTTTTTGTTTTCCCGTTTTCGGTGGTGACAGTGGCTGAAGCTAAAATCCAAACCGCTCCTTGCTTATTCATACACGTACGCACATGCATGTCCGTGCTGGCCTCTATATAACCCCCCTTCTCCCCTCATCAGGATTGCAGATCTACCTCGGCGAGCAACAGACAGGTTAGCATAGAATAAAAACAACGCATTGCAATGGATTGCTTACCAGTTGGGTTCTTGTTTTTCTTAAGACTCTTGCCACAAAGACACTGCAGCATATGCGATCCTTTGCTGAAAATGTTCCAAAGAAACCACATTGATTTGGGCGAAAAGCAATCCAGCAGCTTATACACCCTGAGAAAGAAGAGATCCTTGTGGTTGCATAATAATAAATTGAGACCAGTTCTCCTGAAGAGGGGCACCAGTTTTATCATAGAAAAAGCGATTATATTCCGTTCTTCTCCCAGTTTTTTTTCCTCACGTGGTATATTTCTTTGAGACTTTTCAACGGATGCTTTTTTTTCAGCCAGGCTGAATGGTTATTCCCCCTAGACCAACACCGGATTATAACCAAAAGCGTGGAGAGCAAATGTAAGAAATCCCTTTTTTCAGCATGAAGCCAAACGAAAAGTAAGGTAGTGAAATCCCAGCCGAGGCCAAAACCTCATCGGAGACACCGGCAAAACGCGGAAGACAGATCCCCAGAGAGAAAACCATAGCCTGGTACTTGACTGCTAGGAGGATGGGTGGATCTGCAGAACAAAAGCCACGGCAGGATCCATCCTACTGAACGACTGCCATTGTGCAGCCCCGCGGCGGGAGAGCGCACCGCCAGCACCCGGCGAAGCCCAGCTGAGGCGCAGAGAGCGCTGCCGGCCGCGGGCGCGGACCCCGCCCGCAGCCCCCGCCGATGCCCCGCAGCCCCCGCCGCCGCCCCGCGACGCCGCCCGCCCTCGCCCGCGCGGGCCGCTCGCCTGCCGGCCCCGCTGCCGCTGCGCCCCGCACCGCCCCGCACCGCCCCGCACCGCCCCGCTCCGCCGCGCAGGAGGCAGCACCCCCGCCCCGCGCCGCCCGCCGCAGCCTCGGCGCCCAGTCGCCGGCGGGCGCCGGGGGAGGAGGAGCCGCCGAGCCCCGCCGGCCCCGACCGCCGTCACGGACCCACGTGCGGCCCGGCCCGGCCCGGCACCGCCCGCGGGCAGCACGGCAGCGTTGCCCCGGGGCCGGCCGCGGGACGCGCAGCCCGCCCCCGAAGTGCCCTGGTCCCGGACACCTGTCCCTCCCCCAAGTCTGGCTCTTGCCCGTCTTGGCCATGCCGTGGTCTCAGCGGGCACGGATGACCAACGCAGTCGTGAGCTGAATAAATGAACCTGAGAGGGGTGTTTCTTTCTGAATGCTGTCCCTGCTGTCATCAGACCTAAGGAGTGTACTGGTGAGGTTTGGGGTTTGCCCCAGCAGAGGCAAGCACCGTTTGTGTCATGGCGGGATAATGCCATGAACGGTGGAGTCCTGGACCGGGACTGGGATTCCCAAGTACCACAAATACCCAGAGAGGCAGCACTGAGATAGCCCCACAAAGCACGTGCTGCACAGCCGAGCTGACAGGTCCGCGGGCAGACGGACCAGATCCTGAATAGTGCCAGTCATTGCTCTCCGTAGGCCCACCCAAGGAGCACTGCCCTTTCACCAGTCCTCCCAGCCTCTGCCTGAGGACTGCCCCGAGCGGCTGCCCTCACACATGGCAGTGGTAGCACTGGAAGAGCTGGAAGCTGATGCCCATGTTCTCCCTCTCCCCTCTAGATTCTCTGTGTGGATACTGGAAGATGGTGGAAGACAGGAAAGGGAGCATGAATAAATGAGGGAAGATATGATGAGGTAGTAATAGAAAGGAACTGCTGAGGAGAAGAAGGTGGAATTAATATTCTATTAATATTCACATTCATTTAAACATGATCAGATGTTGGTGTTTTCTCCTGAAGCCATGGAAGCTGCCATTGCTTAAGAAAGTGTAAAACTAAAATATGAAAAAAGCAGAGGTTTGTATGTGTGCTTTTTCTGCTCTACTAGGATGTCTGTTTGCTTACCAGTTTTTGATAAACACTTACAGTAAATGGTTGGTCAGCATACAAAAAAAAAAGCACTGGGAAACAGAAATTTTCCAATAGTTTTAATTTCAGCAATATTCTGGATTTACACATATAGATGAGCTGCTTGGCTACCAGATCCTCATCTACATGATATTTAAACATCATCACCCTGTTTTATGGAGATGAAGCATGACACACAGGAATGAAGTGCTACATCATGAGAAGTGGCCTATGGAATTTCCAGAACTTTGAAGAGTTCTTACCTCTCAGCACCCAAGTTTTTAAAAATAAAAAGAAGCCAAACTTGATAAAGTGTAAGAAAAGTTAGAAAGAGTGAGGCAAAGGTCGCAGAGATGATACTTCCTAATGCTAAGAAGTGGCTGGTCTCTTGTTCCATCCCCTTGGCTGTGCTACCTGTTGAGGACTGCCCTTCCTGTTATGCAGACGTTCCACAGGCTGCTGGGAAGACAAGCTGGCTCAGCCACCTTGCAGCCAGCTGGCTGGGAGTTCACAACAGCCCTAGTGCTATTCACGGGAGCTCATATGTCACGACTCCCTACAAGCATAAAATTGATCTAGAGTATTCCCAAAATATCTCAGATCTGTGTTTATCTTCTCTTGACCACAAGAGCCAACAATATATAGCTGGAAACAGTCTGTGATCTGTAGAAAACAAAAAGTCATTTACAAGCTTCCCACCCAAGTAATTGGTTTATGTACCTCCCTCAGGCTAGCATGGAACTTCCTACTTTCTAAATGAAAGTAAAACTTCTCTTTACCATCTCACCATCATTCAGTTATCAGGAATTGTGGCTACAAAACTGAAAGGGGCTGGTTCTGAGGGTAATAATATGATTTAAGGTTTACTAGAATTAGAGGCAGAAACCTCGTATTTCAACAGAGAAAGAAAATATACACCTTGCCTGTCTGGTAACTTAATGTCCTTCAAGAAGTTCTGAAAACACGAGACAAGCAGGCCTGCAAAGAAATACCTGAGCAAGAGCAAGAATTTATTCAAAATTCCTCTTTATGCAAAGTCAAAGCCTTTTGAAAGAAGAGTTGACATAATGTGAAAACAAACAAACAAACAAACAAACAAACAAACAAACAGAAACCCACAACAAAAAAACCAACAGAGGAAGTCTTTTCTTCTCAGGTGAAATATGTATAAAAACCTTAGAAGAGTCTAAAACATATATTTAGACCTGTTTAGCCAAAGTATAACTTAACATTTTCAATACCTTAATTGATTTAAAATTGGCCTATCATTAACTGACACTGAACTGGGTGTAAGCGTTTTTTGACAGTGGGAAGATTTATGAACAAAAATAAATCTCATACTTTACTGTGTTCAATGTGCAAGCCATCAGATTAAAACAATGACCTGGACAAGGAGAAGGAAACATTTCCTCAAGGGCTCTTATATGTTTTAGGACCATTGAATAAGACAACTTTACTTGAAGAGGGATATGCACATAAAAATTGAGTAGACCTCTTCAGCCCAAAGTTTTGGTATACATTGATTGCAAAAGTAAATTAGACGAGGTTAGTTGTTTACACATCAACCTTAAAATTCTCTGTCTTCTAGAAAAGAGCCTACACAGTTCCCATAGTCTAGAAAATACAAAGATTAAGCTGCCTTTTAGTGAGACTGAGTCTGAAGAACAATAACTCTAGATTTCTACTAGCCAACTAGATGGTTATATCCATTATGGTCCATAAAGATCTGGAACTTGGTTTGGCTGCTGAAATTTAGACACCTAGAGCCATCTGAGATGGTCCTGGGATATCTCGCAACATAAGGCATGGAAGATATGATTCTAGCCTAGGCCCTTAGGTAGCTGCAGGTGGAGACCACACCGTGTATCCTAGAGTATCCTGAAAGGACAGCAACTGCTACCTGTGTGTAAGCAATTGTATAGAACTTCTAAATCCCTATTGATTGTACTGGAGCTTAGATACTCAGCTCATGGCTTTACACAGACACAGACAGTTCAGTTTAGGCATCTTACCTACAAGCTCTGTCACAAACTAAATATTTATACCTGTAGACTCTTGCTGTCTTTGGAGACAGCTAATTCTGTATGCCTCTTCCTCTTCTGTGCTGGGGGTAGTGTCTAGAGAAGTAGATGAGGTTGAGCTCTTCATTAAACTTCATTGCAGATTTTTTTGACTATTCCACAGAGAGAACATCAGAAAGAGGTTCCCAAGTACAAAGAGCAATGGAGATAAAGGGATTGAGCCTTTTTGAAATGTCACCTTGCTCCTACTGGGAAAGGGAAGAAGGATGGATTGTCATTCTCCCTTGATTCAGCATACAGGTGCACTTACCCTGAGTGAATGAAGAGTATGAGTTTGAGCATCAAATGATCTTTCAAATTTGAACATGCTGATCCACCAGTTCCAGCCCAGTACCAATTTCTGTAAGACTAGAAAGGTGACATTTCTTACCTGAAAAAGGAAGGGATACAATGGGGAATAGACCATATTCTCACAAGCAAATATCAGCCAAATCCATAGCTACATATATATAAAAAGAAGTTAATATCAGGATTTTCCTGTTGTTTCAAGATAATGAAAGAGTTGCAGGGAATTCCTGAGGCAAGTCGGGTGAAGAATACATCACCCTGTACAGGTGATACCTGGTTGATTACAGTGGGTAAAGGTGAACATACACTGAGGTCCTGGGATGATTTTGCCTTACTAAGGCAAGTCATGTTCCAGAGCGCTGTACTCCATTGTCTATCCTACCAGCCTAGTATCTCATGACTGCATTCATTCTGTGGGAAAGGAAGAGCTAACTGAATGGGAGAAAAAGGATCTTGAGCTGCCTGCTCAGTAGAGGCCGAAGGTCCTGATATTCAGGAGCAATTGTAGAAGGAATCCTATTGTCTCCATAGAGTATAGTAAGGTTTTATGAGAGAGTAACTGGGTGGTGGGTGGGATATGAATTTGATGTGGATCTGGTGATACATAAAATGGTCTGACATTCAGAAACCCTGGCCTATTACCCTGTTTTGGACTGGATGCACAATGAGAAGCTTTACAAGTAGTTGCCAAGTTTTCTTTACTGAGAAAATTGTTTGTTTTAATGTAGCAATGCCAAAGAGGATCTTTAGTCAAAGGTCAAGACCTCAGCATACTGGGTCCAATAAAACATATAGACTATGCCTAGACTAAATTTACCTTTGCAGGAAAGAATAGAAGTTCTAACTTGGAAGTAGCCAGAATGAGACAGATCAGATATTGTCTCACATTAACCAAAATTTAATCCATCCATCAGTATGTAAAAATCTCGAGTCATGTTCACAGTAACACAGAAATGTTCCTGCATGCCTTAACTGTATGAACATATTCCCTGGCAAATGTAATGTCCAGTAGCCATAAACACATAGTAGTCCACTCCAGTGTGTATCACCCCTGCTTTTCCCAAGGGAGAGGCTAAATTAAAATGATCTGGCAGAGCACAGAGCCAGCAAATGGAGTAACATATGACAGAGTAGGGACCCATGCAGGTTTGCGTGTAGCATTTGTCTTCAGGAAGCCTAATAAAATTCCGTCAATCAGACATGGGGCAGACACGTCCGACCATGTTGTGGTGCCACTTAGAAGGCAGTGACTGCCTTTAAGACACTGGCAGGGGTTATAGACAGGAAAGGGATTTACAGACTGAGCTTTTCCTCCTGCAGACATGTCCAGACTGTGCTGCTGGGGGCAGTACCAACACCTGCTGGCTTCAACACAATGGACCAAAACTTTGTAGAACAGAGCCCTGGCTACTCTGTGA